GCGTACGACCACCTTTCCACCCTTCCTGCTCTCAGGTATCTACACCTGACCGAATGGAGGACACCAGATCCAGATCTATTCCCCTCTGTACCATCCCACCCGTCGGGACACACAGGTTTCCCAGTGCTTCAACGTCTAATAGCACAATGCATGGCACTTGGGTCGGTCATGGAGGTGGTGAATGGGTTCTCGAGCACTCCCTTGCGGCATCTCAGCGTGAGGGCCACAAGTGCCTTGGGCCCTGAACATCGCATCCAACATTTCTTCGCCGCACTTTCGACTCACCTGGTGCACGGAGCTCTCGAAGAGATCCACCTGTGGTTAGGTGTTGAAGGCGAGGTTGGTTTTGATATCGACGGCCGAACACTATCGCATCTATTCTGCTTTAGCAACCTTCATAAGTCACCTTATATCTGCCGGTGCTCGGCAAGATCCTTCTCGACGATGCCGCCGTGTGGGATATGGCTCGCGCATGGCCCAATCTCGTCACACTCAAGTTGATCGACCGCCAAGATGACTCGGACCTGCTGCCCATCATAACGCTCGCCAGTCTTCGGGCATTTGCCACACATTGCCCAGAGTTGATTACACTCGCTCTCACCTTTGACGCAACCGTTGTACCGCCCTCCTCCGATGAGCAGCCCGTCCTCTATAACAAGCTTTCAGACTTGTACGTCTGGTACTCCCCCATTTCTTCCCCGGCTCTGGTGGGCCGGTTCCTTGCAGAGATTTTTCCAAACATCGAACGAATTCAATCTTTTAATCATTACGAACCTTGGGAGGAGGTTGAAGATGTCGTTATGCGTGGCGGGATTTAGGGCGGTCGCGAGGATAAGTGCTAGATCTGCGCCAGCCAGTTGCTTCTATAATCCATCGTAAGTACTTGAGCTTACAAAAAAATCGCCACGTAGGAGCGGCGTCACAGTAGATAGCGTTTCATTCATGTATAAACCCGAGTTCTAAGTGTGCCTGACTTCTGCATGTCTGAGTTGTGAACCTTCTGACGAAGCAATCCTTCTCTGAACTTCTAGATAAGAATAAGAACCAATTGTTCATCCCCGAATACAATCCGGATAAAAGAAAACAGAGATCACTCAAGGGGAATTCACATAACAGATGTTGCACATCCTCGTTAATTTTTCACCATTTAAATCTCAGTCGAGGCCTATTTTTGCGAGTGGCCTGAGAACATCGACACCAGCTAAGTATTCCAATCAAATGCAGAGAGTCAAACTGTGAGCTTCAGCTTATAATTACTAGTCGCTGTGCGCAAGCCAGAAGTAGTTGATATGGACCCTGGCACATCCGTGGTATCTTCCACGACTTGAGCTAGGATGGGCGCTGGAAGAAATGTGTGCAATCGGCAGAAAAATGCAGAGAAATTTATTATAATCACGACGGGACACATTCCTACATTTTCGAACCACCATAGTAAGTTATAGCTGGAATAACCATATGTATCAGCGCGGGCGCGTTTTCGAACTGGCGCGGCGGCCATCGTGGCCATCGTGGATGTCGTGAGTGCCACGTAGAGCCCGCGGTCGACGGGCTAACCCATGCTCGTTAATCATACTCCGGCAACGCGCCCGGCGGGTGGAGCCGGTACGGCAGCGCTTCGCGCACGATGTGGAGGTATACGCGCGCGGGGACGCGGGTGTGTTTGGGGGTCGTGGGGTCATGGGAATCAGCGGGATTAGTCTCCGGCGCCGTTTTACCGGGTGGACTGCTGGCGGACGTCGGGTTGGGTGGGTTGGGGGATGTGCTGGATACTGAGGAGGCGGTAGAGGCGGTGGTGCTGGACGCGGAGGTGCTGCTGCTGCCGCTGCTAGACCTGGACATACTGAGGGCGAGCCCCGGCGGCACGGGCGTAGGGACGTATATGCGGTACTCGGATACGGTGGGCGGGAGCTGTACAATAATGATAAGTATCGAGCGCTCGGGGATCGGGAGGGAGAAGAGAAAGTGAGAGGAGCGTAAAAAGAAAGACTGGGTAGACCAGAAGAGAAGTCGGGAAAACGTATAGATCCAATGTAGAAACGCAAATTTAATAAAAAGGAAGAAACGAGTAAAGAACAAGTATCCTCCGCATGAAGCACAGCTCGATGAGCGCGAGGGACCAGACTGTCTACGGAACACAGCGCCATCCGTACCGCCGAGAAGCTCTATCCCACGTGCAAGGCCGAGATGCCACGCATCCTCACTCGCCTGGGTATCAAAGGTGGTCTGCGCGGGAAGTCCAGAAGATGCCTCAACGGAAACCATCGGATGCGAGCCGCACTGAGGTACAAGAAGGAATAGAATAGAAAAGGAAGGAGGACAGTGAATAGAAGGAACAGCGCGCGGCGCGTGAGGATGGGTGACAAAAATTAAGAATTAAGCAGGAGGAAGTGTAGCGCGTCGTATCGTATCGTATCCCCGAGAAATCTGCGCCACGTCGCGCTGTGCACGCACGGCAACAGGCACCAGAAGCAAGGGAATACCAGGAACGAAAGCGCAGGGGACTTATATATATACGGGAACAGCTCCGAAATGTGAAAAGGCAGTAGAGAAAACGCTGCGCATCCAAATTTAAAAATCCCCCGCCCCCCAAAAGAAGCAAAAGAAAAAACAGAAAGCAAGAAAAGAAACTAAGCGTACCGCGTCGACACACCACACCCAGGTGTGCACATCGTTCCACGGGAGGCGGCGCGCGTCGATGAGGGCGCCGAGGATGCCGAGGGTTTTTTGGGTGCAACAAAATAAAAAAATGTACGCGAAGGCGAAGGAAAGAAAGAAAAAAACAGAAACGTCAGCAAAGGATATACATGCAGGTAGGGAAACACGAACCCTGTAGAACGTCCTGCATCCTCTGGCGCGCGCGGGAAGGGGACAGATTTTGGAGTTTGAGATTTGGGCTATCGACGGGCTTGTCCCTGGTGTTCGCTGACCCGTCCTTGGTGCTCGCGAACTTCTCTACTTTGACTCGCTTGCGTGACATCTCCCGACGCTGTGTCTCCTCGCCCAGCAGCCCCGCGCGCGCCATATGCAAAATGACACCGTACAGGCGGTTGCACAGGTCATCGAAGAGGGCGCGTGGGGGCCGCAGGCATTCGAGGCGCAGTAGCGCGAGGCGGCGGGTGAGGTACGCGTGCTCCTCAGCCATCATGGGTTCGCTGTTAGCGTGGGGAAGCCGCCCGCGTTCGAGCAGCTCTGGGAGCGTCGCGCGCAGCTGGTGGTCCTTCACAAGCAAATCCACCACGAGCGCCGCGACGATCCACTCGCGCTGGGTCAGCAGCGCCTGTCACAAGTGCGTCACTGTCTCTTGTCTCCGCCTAACGAACAGTGGGCGCGCAGCAATAAAGAGGGCGGTCGCTGCGCGCAGGTGGGGTGAGACACAAGGTGCGGGTTGAAGTGCAAGAGCGCGGGGCGCAGGGCCGAGTGGGGAAGGTCGTGCGCTTGCTGTGCACGCGGGACTTGCTTTAATAGGACATCGAGGGCGGTGTTGAGCGTCAAAAAGTGAATGCGTGGCTCGTCTGCAGTGGCGAGCAACAGTGCGGCGGGGTGCGGGCCGGCTTCGGAGCGTATTAGGGCGTGGGTGGTGGCGTGCAGGACGAGCCGGGAAGGCGGGCTGACATGGCTGCGCAGAATATTCAACGCAGCCGGCGCTTGGGAGCCAGCAACGAGGGCGTGCAGGCGGCGGGCCAGGGGGCGCGCGGATGCAGCGGGGGGCGGCGGGTTGTTGACAATAGCATCGAGCGCAATAGCAGGCGCATCATTCGACGTAAAAGAGCGCGTCAAGCGCAGTCTGCAAGCTCTTGCTCGTTGCATCATCATGGAATTAGTGGAGGCTCCAGCCAAACATGTACAACCTCGTTTGGTCTCAGACCACACCATCTGCACACTGCAAATTCACTCGCGTATCCCAAGATTCCACTAGTCAGGAAAGCGGACGTAGTGCACGGTGCACGGCTGCCACACGTCTCGAATGTCATGTACTGGCAACACCGGAGTTCGACTCCCCCCGTCCTCATGGCCCATCCGCCGGCTTGTTGCCGGCTTGTGTTAAAAGTTATCTTTTTATTTTTCTGTGCACAGTGCCCAGCCTTTCGCCGTATTTTTGGGTTCCTAGTTCATATTCCTTTCTCTCACTTTCACCCGTCAATATTAGTCCTTTGTCACTGAATTTATATGGTTTAATCAGGCTTTCTGCGCTTCAGGTGTGCTCAATCGCATTATTTACTCTGGGACTGAATAAAGGGATTCATGCGGATGTGGTGCACGAACATGGCGCTTGCAGAGTATAGAAAAGTCGAGCAGCAGCCGGGTTCGACTCCCCCCGTCCACATGTAGGTCAATGTGACTTCCTTTTTCTGCAGCGACCTACTGTGTCTGATACCCGAATCCTCATCTTTCAGGTTTTCTCGCGCACTTGCTGAACATTTCAAGGCCGCCTTCTATATCTTTTGACGAGAATATCACCAGGTCTGCCGGAGCATTTGATGCATGGCTTTTTTTTTTCTAGCCCCGTCCTCCGCCCAATTTCCGATGCGTCTTTTCTTTCAGCTTCATACTTTGTCAACGTCCTTGCTCTACTAGGCGATAGATGTCCCACTCCGACAAAAAATCCGTCAACCACTAAATTCTTGGATTAAAAAAATCTCACTTCTCTGCATCCAGGCTTGTCCAATTAAACTATATTTACCGTGTAACCAAAGAGCTGAATAGCGCGGACGTGGTGCGCGGTGCACGACTGTTAAATATTGCCCTTTTGGACTTCTATTGCCACAGCTAACTGAGGTTCGATTCCCTGCGTCCGCATATGTCGAGCCAAATGTTCTTTTTGGGGAGAGTATCTTCGTCACCCGCCTCCCCACATTCCGTGCTCAGGTTTCCGTGGGATGCAGATATCACTACCAACTCAGCACAACGTCCCTTCAAAGTTCGAATTCTTTTGCCACAAAATATCTAGGTGGGTTGAATTCATTGCCACTTATGAATCTAGGACTGAAATAAGGAACAGATCGGACGTAGTGCAGGGCGCACGGCTGTCTCCAATTATATCGGAACGAGTGGTATGCAGCAGCGGGGTTCAAATCCCTGCGTCCGCCTTCGGCCGGCTTCAAGGTACTACATTTTTCTTTCTTTCTTTCTTTGGTCCCATTATTTTCCCTCACTCCCCATTGCCAGCTTCAGGTTCCCTCCGAGTCGACTTTCACGCTCCACTGAATATTTAACCACTGAACCAGTATGAGATTCTAGAGGAGGAAAAGTTATCCAGGTGCGCTGACTTCAGTCTCACTTGGCATGAAACTCAACAGAGGAGACAAGCGGACGTGGTGCACGGTGCACACTCCCTGCGTCCGCATAGAGGAGCCCTCCAGAACTTTCCCTTTTCTTCTAGCGGCACCGGGCTAATGACTCCTGATTCCAGTTTAAAATTGCATTCGCCCGCATCTTCATCTCACCGATAAACATTATTTCGACCCCGAGGCATATTATATTCACTTCAATCAAGTTTTTTGCGCGCGCATTGCCATAAAACTCAACAGAGGAAGAAAGTGGACATGGTACACGGTGCATGGCTGCCTCCAAGTGTGAAGCAAATTTTCAGGAATCAGGCAGCAACAACAACTGGGTTCGTCTCACGAGCTATGGTTTCCCCCCCTTGATCAGATATTTTCCGCTCTACTCCTGGTTATTCTAACTCGTACCCTGTTCACTAAAGGTTCACACATCTCTTTCTCCACTGAATGCCACTGCGGACGCACATTTATACCCTTCAATAATCAAGTTTGTTCGGCTGAAAATATACAGGTACGATAAATTCAACCCCAATTAGCGCGAGATTAAAAAGGTGAATACAGCAGTCGTGCTGCCCGGTGCACGGCAGCCAAAAAGTTGCAAATGTTGTTAAGCCGCGACTCCCCGCGCCGGCATGGGCCGGAGGTCCGAGTTTTTTCTCTCTTTTTAGTGCGGCGATCCGCTGTGTTTGGGTAGCTGAATCCTCATCCTTCAGACTTTCTCTCTCGCGCGCTTGATATTCCAACATTGGCTTCTATATTACGTAATTCTTGCGAGAATACAGCATCTAACCAAAGATATCGCAAGGGGGACTAAGATGTTGATACTTCCACGCTTCTGATCCGCACAGGAGTTGGCGGAATATGGGGGCTTTTTTTGCATACACTCAGCATGCGCAAATATTTTCCAATGATAAGATAAGATAAAATGACATTGACAGTGTTGACATTTGTTGTGCAACAAGCCTGACTTGAACTTCGACCACTGCAGAGCACCGCTTCAAATGCGCCGTTTCTTCTCCATTCCCGAGTTAGTGGAGCTTGTATGCAAAGAATTGGGCTATTTGCACTTTCATCGCAAGGATCTTGCCGCCCTTGCACGCACAGCGACCGTCTTTCACCACCCAGCTCTAGACGTTCTGTGGCAGCAGCAGAACAGCCCCATAAACGTCATCCTATGCATGCCTGCTGATCTCTGGGAGTCCGAGGAATTGGTCAAGAGGCAGAGGAACTTTGTGGGCAGTTTCTACTCATGCGTTCGATGATACATGCTCACCATCGTTCAGGCCCTTAGCCGTCCCATTACCCCTTCGGATCTCGAGCGCCCGCTGATCTATTCCAGACGGGTGAAATCACTGTCCATGGATTCATATGACCTTACTCTGGACTTTTTCCGCGTCTTTGAAGTGATGAAACCCTTTCTTCCACATGGAATCCTTTTCCCCAATCTTCGACACCTCGATCTGCTCCTCCTGGATGAAAGGGCCGGAACTATACTTCCCTACCTGTCCTTTGCTCTCATCACATCTATTTCTCTGGGGCTCGGCTCCTCCTGGTCCACCATACCCGATCTTCCCATCGTGAACCCTGCGTTAAAACACCTAGGAATTTTCACTAGCACGCCAAACCCCGCCCATCTCTTGCCCAGAATATCCATCTGTGTTCGGAAATTGATTCAAATTGAGAAGTTGACCTTGCCCACGCTTGATCGTGCGGCGTACGACCACCTTTCTACCCTTCCTACTCTCCGCTCTCTAATCGTGACCAAACGGACGACACCAGATCTCTTGCCCTCTATTCCACCCCACCCAGCGGGACGCACAGGGTTCCCAGCGCTTCGAAATCTAAAGACAGAATCCATGACAGTTGGATTTGTAACGGAGGTGGTGAATGGGTTCTCGAACACTCCTTTGCGGTCTCTGAACGCAATTACCGCCGCCACAGGCCCTGACCATTTCATCCAACATTTCTTCGCAGCCCTTTCGGCCCATCTAGCGCACAGTGCTCTCGAACAGATCGCTTTGTACCTAGGTGTCGAAGGCAACGATGATTCTGATATCGACAGCCGAGCACTATCGCACCTACTCTGCTTCAGCAACCTTCGCATGGTCACCTTGTATGTGTGTGGCGAGTTCATTTTCGACGATGCTACCGTATGGGATATGGCTCGCGCATGGCCCAATCTCGTCAAACTCGAGTTGACCCACTCCCAATATGCGGCCCGGGCAAGCCCACCGCGCATCATGACACTCGCCAGTCTTCGGGCATTTGCAACACATTGCCCAGAGCTGAGTACACTCACTCTCACCTTTGACGCCACCGTTGTTCCGCCCTTCGACGAGCAGCCCCTCGTCCAGAAGAAGCTTTTAGCTCTGGGCGTCTCCCTTTCGCCTATTGCTTCTCCGGCTTTGGTGGGCCGGTTCCTCACAGAGAATTTTCCAAACATCGAACGAATCCAACCCCTCGGTCGGTTCTACGGGCTCTGGAAGGAGGTTGAAGATGTGGTTAAGCGTGGCGGGATCTAGGGCGGTCGCGAGGATAAGTGCCAGATCTGCCCCAGCCAGTTGCTTCCACCGTCCATCGTACAAAAAAAAATCGCCACCGTAGGAGCGGCGTCATGGTAGCTAGCGTTTCGTTCATGTAGAAACCCGAGTTCTAAGTGCGCCTGACTTCTGCATGTCTGAGTTGTGAACCTTCTGACGATGCAATCCTTCTCTGAACTTCTAGATAAGAATAGGAGCCAATTTTTCATCCCGGAATATAATCCAGATACAAGAAAACAGAGATCACTCAAGGGGAATTCACATAGTAACAAATGTTGCACATCCTCGTTAATTTTTCACCACTTAAATATCAGTCGAGGCCTATTTTTGCGAGTGGCTCGAGAACATCATCACCAGTTAAGTATTCCAATCAGATGCAGGGAGTCAAACCGTGAGCTTCAGCTTATTAATACTAGTCACTGTGCGCAAGCCAGAAGTAGCTGATGTGTACCGTGTTATCTGCCACGACTTGAGCTAGGATGGGCGCTGGAAGAAATGTGTGCAATCGGCAGAAAAATGCAGAGAAATTTATTATAACCAGGACGGGACACTTTCCTACATTTTCGAACCACCATAGTAAGTTATAACTGGAATAACCATATGTATCGGCGTGGGCGCGTTTTTGAACTGGCGCGGCGGCCATCGTGGCCATCGTGGATGTCGTGAGTGCGGCGTAGAGCCCGCGGTCGACGGGCGAACCCATGCTCATCGTACCCCCGCTAACCAGATACCCCGGTAACGCGCCTCGCGGAGGCACACGCGCGCGGGGACGCGGGTGTGTTTTGGTGTCGTAGGGGCGCAGTGGGCGGGAATACTTGAGGTGGGATTGCGGCCGGTGGACATCGGGTTTGCTGGGTGGAGGCGGTGGCGTGAACGAGCCCCGGCGGGACAGGCATGGGGACGTAGATGCGGTACTGGGACACGGAGAGCGGGAGCTGTGGGATGAATAATAAAGAATCAGTATCGAGTGGGGTGGAAGATGGAGGGAGGGAGAGGAGCGCAGACGAGAAGAGATCAGAACTCGGGAATTCGCGCGGCGCCTCAAAGACCCATCCACGCCTACCGGCACACGCGATGCAGAAACCCAAATGGAATAAAAAAGGAACAAAAGAGTGGAGAATATCCTCCGCATGAAGCACGAATGAGCATGAGCGCGAAGAGCGCATAGTGGGAGGACCAGACCATCCACACTGATTCACGAGAAGGGCGGAATAAGACGGGAATGAGAAGTATGGAAATAGAGGAAACGGCACGCAGCGCGCGAGGATGAATGACATCACCAATAAAAACTAGTAAGGCAACAAGCACCGCGCCGTATTGTACCGTATCGTAACCCCAGGTATCCGCTTGACAGTGTGCAAGCACGACAAAGCTCGTGAACGAACACACTTAGAGCTTATGACCCATCATCGTCGGTCTCCCCGGCAAGGCACGGGCGCAGAGAACAAAGACCGAAATTCGATCCTCGCCGTTTGAGGCCGGGGGGAGGCGCGGGTGTAGAGGACAACCAGCAATGGTGCACGATCGAATGGGAATAATCCCTCTCCTCACCGCGAGAGCATCGAACTCCAGCATCTCCAGGCGCGTTTCGAAAGCCACCGCACGCAAATCTCGAACCCTCCGAATGCCAATCCGTAAGGACCCATCTAGCGCGGAAGGACAATCGATCTCTTGTCCTCGACCCTTCCTCGCCCAGCTTGCGATGAAGGACGACCGCCGTGCATTCGTTCTTCTTGCTGAAGAATGACCACCATCCATTCTCCCCGAAGAATGACCATCCGGTCTTTCCGCTGAAGAAGACCATTCAATGCATTCGTCCCGCGCAGGATGACACAACGACAAGCAAGAAAAAGAAGGCGAGGCGAGCAGAAAAAGAGATAAAGGAAGGAAGGGAAAGCAGTGAGCTTTTCACCTCCGCGCTCGCCGACCGGCTGCGCGCGTCCCACTGCCTTCCCCCGTGAAGCCGAGAAAAAGGGAAAGAAATTAAAAGATGACGGCGTAGGGCGTCGTAATCCACTAGAGCATTGTGAATAAGAAGGAGGGAAGAAAAAAGCGACGGCGTCTGCCAGACAAGCACAACAAGGCAGAGGAATATCCGAGAACTCCACGAATCAACGCGCAAGGGACTTTTACGATCCCCGAAAAAGCGAAAATAAAACAAAAAATCCCACAAAAAACCCGCCAAAAAAAAAGGAAAAAGCAGCCAAGAGAAGAACGCACCGCTTCCACGCACTAGGTGTGTATGTCCTCCCAAAGCAGACTGTG